AAAACAAAAAAAAAAAAAAAAAAAATAAACACATCTTAGTAAAACTAATACCTTCTCAGCTTCGCATCGAAGCTAATAAACTAATTATATCTGTTTCAATGTGTTAGTTATATTTAAAATTCAGCATTACGTAATTTTGAAAATGTATTGACTTTATAGTCTAGAAGATCAGTTACTGATATTTTATTAAATTATAATATTTACATTAATAATATATAACAATAATTAAAATATATACCAAAGTCTGATACTAACATCAGATTCAAGATGATATACAATCAGATGTTTATCATATTGGAAACTACTGTTATCTCCTGGAAGTTAAATTTGTCGTGTATAATTTAATAATGCGGTAACAGGCTAATAATATACTGAAAAAATCGAGAATCCATAGACTGTGTTATCGATAATTTTATGTTATTATACCGAGTTTTTTAAATAACACAAATATCCGAAAAATCATAATGATTTCGAAGTCCGAAAATATATCGTTGAAGAACATCATCTACATTAATATAATATTATTTATATTCTTATAGTTTTTTTATATTTTAAACTAATTAAGATACCATCTAAAATAAGTAATTTTTTGAAATCCAATAAATTAATAAGATAAAAATAACTTTGACATTAGAATAGCCTTATTTATAATATTTATGTTGCTTTGCTTCATTGTATTAATAATTCAATGATAAATTGTTATTATGAAATATTTAAAGAGTATTATATACTATTAGCTTTATTTACAGCGTCAATACTTACACAAATGTAGATGACCTTAAAAAATGTTGAATACATTTTGACTTTTCAGAAATCTTGAACTAAAGTTTCAAAGAAGCTGAATTCATAGGTTTATATACTAATAAAAAAACGTATTTTTGTCATTAAAAAAAACAATAGATAAGTAGGATTCCTTAAATAATTATTTTTTTTATTTTATGTAAACACAACAAACATGTGTCAAAAAATTTAATTTTAATTATATTTATAGCGTACAAGGTCAAGCAAATGAATATGTTCAGTTTAGAAGTAAATAAAATTTTTGAATCTATGTTCAACGACCATTTTTAAATTTGAATATTAAAATTAAATTTATCTAATAAAAGATATAGTGTAACAAGTAATGATAATTAGAAAAAAAAATTAATATTTGCCTTTGCCTAAGTACACAGGTAGTATTTATTTTACAAATTCAGTTAATTTTAATATGCATATGTACTTACTAGGTATTTTAAATAACCAAAAAATAAATTGACATATTATTTATGTAATTTTTAATAGTATAAAAATTATTCGTAGGATAAACTGTAAGACATGCATCTATTCTGTTTTTATAGCATGGAATTTCTATACTTCAATTTTAGAAGGAAAATAATGATTTTAAGAAAATAAGTATAATGAAAATTTACATTATTTTAATACATCTTAGTCGAAAACTTTTTATCTACGGTATAAAAATGAGATATTATTGTTTACCAAACCTAATTATTAAATTTAATTTTTTATCAACATTTAAGTTATATGTCTCATAAAGTGTTACCCATATAATCTGCTACAGAGCGTCATAATAAAAATGACGCTACGATTTTGGGAGCATATTAACCGAAATACGTTCTACAATTTTTCAAAATATCATATGGCTTAATTAAATCTAAAGGATGTCTCACCGTGATTTACTAATTTAACTATATAAACTAATATTAAAATTAGTAAATCACGATGGGACATCAATCTATATATATATATATATATATATATATGTATAATAACTAAATTTATTTATAATACATTTATTTTATGACAGATGTTATATATAAAACTAAAAGGAAAGAAAACAAATAATGTATAAACATAAGATATAGAGAATGTAATCAAATAGTATTAGAATAATAGGATTGTAATTATAATATGTAATAGATAAATATGTAAGTTGGTAATTGAATAAATGGTAACAAGTATCTTTATTAATATTTTTAGTCTCCTTTAATGACTTATAAGTCATATATATCAAGCTTAATATCATATAATGCTGTTTAAAGTAATTCTTAAAAATAAGTCTATTAAATGTAACAGGTATTTGTGTCACATTATGCGTGTATAGTCAAAATAACTATTTATGAAAATGATTTAATATGAAATAATACGATTCCCTTGCATTTGTGATTGATCTTTATATGCAGAAAATTGTAATTACTTTTCATATTTTAAAAATTTAATTATAAAATATTCGACTCTTTTTTGATTTTTAATAAGAATTTTTAATAATTTATCAAAGTAGTATTGTAGTAGCCNATATTCGACTCTTTTTTGATTTTTAATAAGAATTTTTAATAATTTATCAAAGTAGTATTGTAGTAGCCTTAAAAAAGGATATAACTTTAGACTAGCTGCTCTGTATGCATGATTTACAAAAATATTATAAACTAATTATCTATAAAATAATATCTAGTAAGATTTTTAATTTCATTTCCACAAAAATCATATTATAATTTAATATTGTTACCATTTGAATATTAATAACAGTATTATTAAAACAAGTTTGTTGTTTCTAGTATTGCCAACAAAAATTTTATTTAGTATTCGTGTTAAAAATGGCTTTTTAAGGTAGCGTAATCTTAAGAAATTTTTCATTTAAGATAGTTCTTTTGATAATTGGCGTTAATAGGTTAAAATAGATTAAAATTGTATTGACACATAGATAAAAAAAATTGGTCTATCGAGAGCTATAAAAATTTTCATGGGCAAACACAAAAAAAACACATTTTGAATTTGAAATGATTTAATAAATGAAAATAAGACTATTAAAAAATGAATAAGTCTACAGATTGTGCAGTACTAATTACTATATTAGCATATTTTAGTAAAAAAAAATTAAATATTTGTTTAATTTATTTTTAGCTTCGATACGAAGCTCAGAAGGTATTGGTTTTACTAAGATGTGTTTTTTTTTTTTGTGTCTGTTGCCACTTTTTCTNTTTTTTTTTTGTGTCTGTTACCACTTTTTCTCAGCTCTCACCGAACCGATTTCTTTCAATGATACGTCAAAAGATCACAAATCGTATCTAGTCGAAGACATTACCCTTAAAAAATGAATAAAATTCTCNTCTAGTCGAAGACATTACCCTTAAAAATTGAAAAAAATTCCCTCGGTTCCCCGTAAATGGGGGAAACCTCCAAAAAATTACAAATTTAAAAATCGCTAATTTTCGAAATTTTTTCAATTTTTTTTATTTAAAATTGCCATAACTTTTTCAAAAATGAACATATCAATATAATTTTTTTTTTATATAGATGCATAACATTATTACCTTTCATTTGGTATATTTTTTTCATAAATTTAACCCTTAACCTGCCCACAAGGAGAGATTTAAAATGACAACTTTTTCACAAAAAATTAATTTTTTTAACTTAACTTTTGAAAATGTTCCGGAAGGTCTGACACTTTTCTATATATATTAAATTAAAGCTAATGTAATATACTTTATCATGTAAAAAAAAAATTTCGGACTTTATTTTGTCTTCACGGTGAAAATGGCTACCAAATGCTATTATTGTGTGAAAAATCTCAATTTTATTTTTTACATTTTTAACTTTATAATGCTATAACTTATTGAAAAGTGTATTGATCAATATAATTTTTTTATGGGAAATACTATTTTTTAATAATCCCTTTTTCATTCGACATACTTTATCTTAATCAGGATATTAATAAGGAACTAGCAGTTTATGAAGCTTTTGGAATAATTCACCAATTTTTTTAAATTAAACACTATCTAAAGATTTGCATCGAAGCGTTTTTTATGATAGTGATTTTAATCACTGTCAGATATCATTATACTTGATCCATCTATGCCACGTCACCACTGTGCCGCGACCCCCCTGTGCTGGGTTTTTACAAATTTATTTCTAATAAAAATTTAACTGCAAAGTGTCAGAATTATTTTAATTAGTTATTGGAATAAATACTAAAATAACAATTTTTTTTTTAATAGCGTTTAAAATAAAAATTCAGTTTTAAACATTTAAATTAGATGTTCAGAATAGTAGAACAAATTAGTTATGTTCTTTTCTCTAATTAAATGTGAATACGTTTCACTGAAGAAATATGTTTGTAGGACTATTAATTTGGTGGAAAATAATTTAGATTATAGTTATATATAACAAAAAACAATGAGAATTGGAAAATTCAATTATTTATTGAACACTTTAAACAGACAGACGTCCTATCAAGTTTATATTTATTATATATAATAGGTAGATATAATTTTTTTAATTTTTAGCAATTTGTTTACTACGAACTACTCAATTAATTGAAAAAAAAAATAAGAATTCGGTGTATTTTAGGTACATATATAGTATAAATCTTCTAGAAAAATAAAAAACACCTGAGAAAACCCTAAGACAATAAAATATGTATACTCGTGATTTCATTATATATTTTATTTTATCAATACTTCACATTAAATAAAATTAATTATATTCATTACAAATAATAAAACAACATAAAAAGGTAAAATTAGATTAAATTTGATGATATTATTACTATAATCATTCACACACTAAAAAATATGTTATAAATTTTGCTATATCTTCATTGGGTTTAATTCCACAACTTTTAAATTTTCTGAAAATTTTATGTATTTTAATAAAAATTCATCCAAAATTATATATTTCAATATAATTGAATACGATTTGGGTTCATAAATATTTTATTTAATAACTAATTAATGTTTTAGCTTCGATGCGAAGCTGAGAAGGTATTGGTTTTACTAAGATGTGTTTTTTTTTTTTTTTTTGTGTCTGTTACCACTTTTTCTCAGCTCTCACCGAACGGATTTCTTTCAACGATACGTCAAAAGATCACAAATCGTATCTAGTCGAAGACATTACCCTTAAAAATTGAAAAAA